GATGACGGGACAGGACAGGGTTTCAACGTGCCGTTCATAGATTGGCCTTGAGTCATAGTGGACTCGACAGCATGTAATAAATATGTATACACACATACATCTCTATATGTAGCTTTGTTGTTATTATGTGCCGTTATGTCGCCTGAGACTCACTGCGATCCTATGGACAGCAACTCCAAATCCTGCCCTGTTCTGAGCCAGTCTCACAAATTCTGACACACTAAACCCCATTGCCCCAGTTCCCGTATCAATCCATCTCATCTGGGATCTTCCTCTCCTGCGCACTCCCTCCACTCTTCTGAGCATGTCCTTCTCCAAGGACCAGTCTCTCCCAGCAACATGCCCAAAGTTTGTGAGATGGAGATTCAAAATTCTAGTCTTCAAGGAGAAGCCTGGTTTCACTGTCTCCAAGACAGACCTGTATATATTTATGGTTTTCCCCCCTCTATGTATACACTGCCTGCCTTTCAGGTAGTAACTGTTGCATCATCAAAATACCTGTGACCTGACACATGCTCCAGTAACCCAACTCCTGGGTACACGTGCAAAGAGTGTGTCTTTAATCTTCTGCAGCAAGTACTTGAAGTCGTTTTGAGATGCCTCGAAGGCACCTAACCCCAACATATATACACTGAGCCTCACGGCCACAGCAGCATGCAATACTAACCATCTCACACTGTGCCATGAACCAGACACACCAGGACTTCCTCTCTGTACCGCTGGATAAGGTGCCACAATGTAGTTAAACCACGTGCATGTGATGACAGACATGTGCGTTATTTCCACCTCTTAGCTATTATTATGTTCCACTTTTTAAAAGTCAGGAAATCAAAAAGTGTATCGCAATGGGAAAGTCTGCTGTTAGGGACCTCTCTAAAGTACTCAAGAGCAACGGTGTCTCTTTGGAGACGAAGGTGCGCCTGATACAGGCCATGGTCTTTGCAATCACTTGTTATGCATCAGAGAGTTGGACAATGACTAGGGAGGATAGAAGGAGAATTGATGCCTTTGAGCTGTGGTGCTGGAGAAGAGTACTGAATGTACCATGGACTGCCAGGAAAACAAACAGATTCATCCTAGAGAGGATTAAACCAAGCTACTCCTTGGAGGCAAGGATTCTGGGGCTTCGTCTGACATACTTTGGACACGTTGCCAAGAGGGACGGGTCCTTGGAGAGGGACATCATGCTTGGGAGGGTGGAGGGATGGTGCAGGAGGGGAAGACCCTCTATGAGATGGATTGATTCGGTGACTGGGGTAATTGGGATGGGTGTGTCAGAGGCGGTGCGGTTGGTGCAGGATAGAGCAGGGTTTAGGGCTGTTGTGCATAGGGTTGCTATGAGTCGCAAAGGACTCGACGGCACATAACAACAACAACTTTTTAAAATGTTTTCATTTGAATGAAGATTTACAAATTATATTGGTTTTCTGTACAATCATCCATAAACATTTTGTTTTCTAATATTGACATTGATTAATTAGTTACAATGTCCGGTCAACCTGTTACTGTGTATCATCTTCTCCTTTGCCCAGCTTAGCAATTTTGCTCCTTTCCCTCTCTCTCCCCCACTTTGATTCCTCCAAGGTTGGTTCTGTAGCTAACCTTTCTTTAGGTTTTTTTTTTTGTCTAGTGGATAATTGTCTTTTGGGGATTGACCTATGTCACTCCACAGAATTTGTTCTAGATTCATCCATGTTGTGCAGTATTTCACAAATTCTTTTTTTCTGATTGTTGCACATTTCTTCCCCACTCCTCCCTTCCCCATCTCACCCTGCAATGCACCTCTTGTTCCAGATTGTTCATACATGTAATTCCTAGTCTTACATTCTTTTCAGATAGTTCTTCCCCTCATCTGTTCTATTGCAGTGTTTATTATCTATCCACTCCTCAACCCCCAACCCGTGTGTGCTATTTTATAACTGCCGTGTTATGCAGTATCTGTCCTTTGAGGAGGGTGATATTTCACTCAGCATAATGTCCTCCAGGCTCCTCCATGTTGTGTAATGTTTTATGAGTTCATTGTTTTTCAATGATAATACTATATTTCATTACGTGAATGTACCATAATTTTTCTTTCCATTCATTTGTTAATGGGCACTTGGATTGCTTCCATCTCTTTGCTATTGTGAATATTACGCAGCAATAAACATGGGTGGGCACATATCTGTTTACGTCGTGGCTCTGGTTTCTTTAGGATATATTCCCAGTAGTGGGATTGGTGAAGCAAACAGTATTTCTATTTCCAACTTTTTGAGGAAGTGCCTTCCATAGTGGCTATACTATTTTACATTCCCACCAGCAGTGAACTGGAGTTCCAATCTCTCCACAACGTCGCCAGCATTTATTGTTTGCTGCCCTATTGAACTTTGCTGTTGTTGGGGTATTTCACAAATTCTTGTTCATTTTTTAGTGATGGCATAATACTCTCTTGTTTGAATTTACTATAGTTTATCTTTAAGAGATTTTTCTATTGATGGACACTTGACTTGTTTGCAATGCTTTGCTCTTGTAAATAACACTGCAGTAAACGTGGTGTGTATGTATGCATGCCAGTTTGTGCCACAGCTAATTTTGGAGATCGGTACCTGGTGGTGGGATTGCCACATCAGAGGGTGTTTCTATTCCCACCTTTGGAAGGAAGTGTTCTTGGCTGTTTTGAACAGTGAACAATGCTGCTGTGAACACTGGTGCACTAGTCTCTGTTTGATCTCTTGCTGTCAATTCTTTTTCTATCAAGGAGTAAAGTTATCAGGACACACGATCCACAAGTACTTTGATGATGCAACAGTTGCTACCTCAAAGGTAGCAGCTCAAACCCCCCAGCACCCCTGCCTGAGCAGCCCTGGCAGCTGCATCAGTGATAAGAACCAAAATAACTCGAGAGGGTCTTTCTGCCCCAGGTGGGTGAGTTGGAATTGACTCCACCACGCAAAAGCAACATGGTAGCTCTGCTTTGAACTTCCCTGTTCCATCTGGGTTCCCCTCCCATTATATAACTGTATTATGTGGTCAGTGTGAGGAGACCCAGGAGGTTTTAGTATTCATATCTCCTCCCCTGTGGAAACCAGAGCCCAGGGTTGTGGGCACCATGAGACAGTGGCAGTTCTCGGCCCCTTTCAGCAGGAGGTGCTGTCTCCCACATCTCCAAGTGTCTGCAGGATCTCCAGGCACCAGCTTTCCCTCCCTCTGCCAAATGTGTCCACCTTTCAGGCCCAGAGGCCCCACAGACAAGGGGACAGGGGTTGGGGGGTGGGGTATTGCAGCTCCAAGGGGCTCAGATGAGATGGGAACCCTTAAGTCCTGGGGTGCATTGTCAGTGGGCACATGCCGGGCCTGAAGATGCTGACTCACCCTCAGCTGCCCCCTGAGTGGCACTGAAGTCTGCCTTGAGCGACTCGCTGAAATGAATGCTTACCGCCTGGGTTCGCTGCACCCGAGAAATGGACCACAGTGCACCCCTCACCACTGCTCACAAAATAGCACCTTAAAATGAGCACAAGGAGCAGGGACCCACGGGGAGACCCTTCTAACGGCCTGTGCTTACTGTCCAGATGCCCTGTTGTGATGGGGCGTCCCCTATGCTCAGGTTCCCTGGCCAGTTGGGTCTTTGTGGATTCTCTGCCTTCACCCTCACTAGGAGCTCATTCTGGTCCTAGCAGGGTCTTCACGCATGTGCGCCCGGGCCAGCCGGCCTGAGGTGACATCTCTAATCTGCGTCCCCTAGCGCTCCCAGCCCGCAGCTGCTGACCACTGCGGATGTCATCTGGCTGGAAGACCAGGACCACAGGGCAGCCCCGGCCCCTGCGCCAGCCCCGGCCAATGCCTCCCTCCGGCTCCGGAGCGGTCTCCGGCCTCCGGACCCCCTCCGATCCCCCTTCCCTCTCCACAGCAGAGCCTGGGCGCACAGCCTGACGTGGGAGACAACCTCGCCCAGACGCAGCCCACTGAGGGCACGCCGAGATTTGAACCCAGCTCTGCGGCTCTGCGGCCTCAGGCTGCTGGACCACCTCCCCGCACCCCACCCCGAGGTCACACGGAGGCAGGGCCCATTTCTCGGAACCTGGGGGGTGAGGGACACCGGGGAGCCAGCACACAAGCAGAACTGGGGCGCGCCCAGAGAGCCTCAGCGGCGCCTGCCTGGACCCCGAGGACAGCACGCTGGACCCCGCGTCCCCTCATTCCCAGGATACCACCGCCGGCCCTGCTCCCCAAATCTCCCACACCCCACCTCAAGGCTCCGTGCCTTCACTGGTTCTCCGACCCCAGCCTTCCTCTCGCCTCTCAACGCTCAGCTCTAGCTCCCCATCCCCCACGGCTCCCCTCTCCTCCTCCGCGCTCCCACGTTTCCCCTCCATTCTGACTCCCCGCCCCCCAACCACTCTTCCCCCTCCCCTCTCCCCTTCCTGGTCACTCAGCTCTGGCCTCATCCCCCGCTGCTCCCCAAGCCTTTACCGCGAAGCCCCTCTTCCCCACTCCTGGACCCACACTCCCTCCCTCCTCGCCCCCCTCGCCCCTGTCTGGCTCTCCTCACGGGCTCAGCTCTGGCTGCCCCCTCGCTACTGTCTCTGAACCCCTCACCCTGCTCTCTCTTCAGTGCTCATCCCGTGGGCGGTCCACTCCTCTTCTTCACTCTTCTCTGGCTTCCCCCCACAACCTCCCTCCTGGCTTCCTCAGAACTCCACCTCCCTGAACCCCCTCTCCTGGCTCCTCTGGACGCCCCCCTCCTGGGTCCTCCTGAAGCTCGCCTCCTGTCTCCCTGGGAACCCCCTCTCCAAGGCCCTTGGGACCCTCCACTCCCAGATCCTTCTGAGTCTTCCCTCTCAGAAACCCCCCTCCCACACCTTCCCCTCCAAGACCCCTCTGAACCCCCAGAACCTTCACACCTGGCAGATTCCTCTGACTCTCCCCTCCCACACCCCTCAGAACTACCCTCCCCTTCTAGCCCTCTCCACTACTCCCCTCCAGGGTCCCCTGCTCCCCCGACCCACACTGCTTCCGGCATGGCCCGGCTGGGCGCCCTGCTGGTGACCGCTGCCCTGGGCGCGCTGCTCAGCTTCGGGCTGCTGGCCGCCGCAGTGGCCAGCGACTACTGGTACACGCTGGAGGTGGCGGATGGTCGTAACCATAGTGGGCCCGCCCGCGCGGAGCTGCTGTCGTCGCACTCTGGGCTCTGGAGCATCTGTGAAGGTAACATTGTCACCGCAGCACCACCCCCCATGGTCCCTGGAACTCCCATCCCCTAAACCCCTCCTTGTCTGCTGCTCCCTCAGCTCTGTAGGGCCCAGGTCACCTCTATCCCTGCCCACCTCCACCCCCTCCCAGCTCCAGGTGACACTGTCTTCAGCACCCCTCAAAGGATGCTGTGAATGGTGGAAGGCTTGGCAGAAGGGACTGGCCCTCTCCACAAGGCCAGGGCCACAGGAGTAGGACTTAGCTGAGGGCCCTATCTTGGCCAAGGACAGTGGTGAGGACCCCTGGCACTGAGACCCCAGAAACACCTTCAGTCCCAGCTAGTGGCTTCTCTCCAGTATGAACAGGGACACCCTCCGGCCGTGTGAGCACAGAAATGGGTTTGTGCGGATGGCCTGGCTGCTCCAGCAGCTGAGAAAGGGCCTCACCCGGGAGACTCGATCTCTCCCTGGGCACCTGTGGGGCCTCGAATGAGCAAGACTGCTGCGTCCACAGACGCTCCTCAGCTCTTGGTCCCAGTGAACGCATTTTACAGTATCTTCTCCCCGTAAGAGCAAAGTCTGAACCCCAAGACTATGGTTCTTACCTGAAACCAAATTTACCCTCGCATCTCGACTTCCAATCTCATGTCTCAAACAATGGACAGGAGTGTAAGATGATCAGTGGCTTCAGGAGGGAGTACCCTCCCTGTAACAGCTACCAAAGGGCAGCATTTGTGCAGTGATAAAGGTCAGATGACAGGGAGGGAGGGAGATGACGGTAGGATGAGTGAGAATGGGACTCCCAGGGAGCAAGCACAGAGTGCTGTTAGCTGCATGGTGGGAATTGCAATCAACATCACAATCAAGTGGATATGAATTTTTTAACAGAAAACCGATTTGCTCTCTAAAATTTCATTCAAGCCACAATAAAAATAATATTGTTGTTATGTACCTTCAGATCAGAACCGACTCATAGCTGACTCATCAGCGGGTTTTCAGAGGCTGTAAATCTCTGGGGAAGAAATAACTCATGCCCTACCCCCAGCAGCTGGTGATTTGAATCATTTGCCTTTGAGTGGACAGAGCAAGTCCTTAAGACTAGACCACTAGTTGTTGTTGGGTGCCACTGATTTGAGTACAACTTATAACAACCCTATGAAGAAGAAGTCTAAGTCCAGACCTATCCTGTGTCATCCTCATTATTTCTGACATACACGAGCCCTTTGCTACAGTCGCTGTGTCCGTCCATCCCATTGAGGATCTTCCTCTCCTTCGCTGACCCTCCACCTTTCCAAGCGAGGCCCTTTCCAGGAACAGCCCTGCCAGAGTGCATGCCCAAAGCCTGTGAGACAACGCTTCACCATCTGTACCTCTAAGTAGCACTCTACCTGAGCCTTTCTCCAAGATATATTTGTTCTTTTCTCCAGTCCATAGGATATCTAGTACTCTTCTCCAACACCACAACTCAGAGGCACTGATTCTTCGGTAATTCATTGTCCAGCTCTCAGATGCGTAGAACGTGATTGAAAAGATCATGGCCTGAATCAGGTGCACCTTAGTCTTTACACTGACATCATTGCTCCTCAGTATTTTGGAGAGGTTCCTGACAACAGACCTTCCCAATATAACGTATCTTTTTTTTTTAATTTTTTTTTTTTCGTATCTTTTGGTTTCTTGACTGCTCATACCCAGGGTATTTATTGTGGATCCATGTAAGATTGAATACTTGGCAATTTAAATCTTTTTTCCATCTATCGTGATGTTGCCTACTGGTCCAATGGTGAGGATTTTCGTCTTCTTGATGTTGAGATGTCATCCATATTGAAGGCTGTAGTCTTTGATCTTCTGCAGCAAGCTTTCAAATCCTCCTCACTTGCAGCAAACAAGATTATGTCATCTGCCTAAAGCAGGTTGTGGATCAATCTTCCTTTGATCCTGATACCACATTTCTCTTCAGAGTCCAACTTCTCAAATTATTTGTTCAGCATACAGATTGAAAAGGTATGAAGAAGGGGTACAATCTTGATGCACATCCCTCTTGATTTTAAATCCTTGCTCTCTGTTCAGACAACAGCTTCTTGGTCTTGGTATAGATTTTGTATGAGCACAAGGATGTTTCCTGGGATTCCCATTCTTCTCAATGTCAGCCATAGTTTATTATGATCTTCACAGTCAAATCTTTGAATAGTCAATCAGAGCTCCCCTAAAAAAAGAGTAATGTTCAGTTAAAAAAACTCAAACAAACCCAAAAACAATTCATTGGCATCCAATTGGAGACAGCGTCTAGCTGGCCCTACAGGGCATTCCCAAGCTGTTAGTCACAGGGGAGCAGTCTGCTCACCTTTCTCTCCCCTGAAGTCACAGGTGGATTCGAACTGCCAAAGAGGCTTGGCTCTGAGTGAGCAGCACAGCTCTCTACAGACTGGGCCACCAGAACGGCAGTGTTCAGCAGGATTGTCATTGTGTGCCATCGAGTGGGCTATGACTCATCGTGACCCCAGGGCCAACATGGATCTGAAACCTACCCTGTCCTGTGCCGTCCTCACCTGTCAGTCCGTCCTGTCGAGGGTCTTCTCCTACACTGCCCTTCCACCTCTCTGAACATGATAGTTGTGGGGGAATCTGCAGGGACCTCCTGGGGGCGGGAGCTGACCTCGTAAAGCTAGCTGGGTACAGGGAGTATTTGCACATTAACCTACACAGAGTGGTAGTGCTGGAACCCTCTCCTCTCTGCTTGTTGAAATGTCACTGAAAATGGTGGCATATTTCATGAGAACATTTTCTAAAAACTTTTTGTATGATTTCAGGGAAAGTTTACAGAGCAGATTGGTTTTCCATTCACCCGTTTGTACACTTTTTTATTCCCAGCATTGATTGAAGTTCCCAGGACAGAACTTCCCTCTTCCCACTTCAGCCCTACAGTTCTATTTTCCACCAAGTCTTCCACCATACCCCCTTCTCCCATCTTTATCCTTGAGCCTGTGCTGCCCTTTAACTGCTCACGGTTGTTTATTCTTTTATTTTTTTTTTAATTAACTGTAATGAAAGTTTACAGAGACTAAGGGTTTCCATTCATTTATTGTCTCACTTTTATCCCTGCCCACCCCCCCTCCCCAAATTAATTTTTCTCCTTGAAAAGTAAAAGAAAAGCTCTTTCATTGCTATGCACTCCCTCCCCCTAAGTCCACTCCTCTGTGCAGCCTTCGTTCTGGATTCCTGTCATGACAATAATACCCAATCATATATCCCTTTTAAACAGTTCTCTCCATTTGTTTCAATGCAGTATACATCATTCCTCCCCTCCTTCTCTGTCTTTCCTCAACCCCAGTGTCAGTCCTGTTTTACAACAGTGGCCCTATGCAATATTTGTCCTTTCGTGACTGAGATATTTCACTCAGCATAATGTCCTCTGGGGTCATTCACTTAGCATATTTCATGAGTTCCTTGTTTTTCAGTGCTGCATAGTATTCCATGGTGTGAATACACCAGAGCTTTTCTATCCACTCATTTGTTGATGGGCACTTGGGTTGTTTCCAGCTCTTTGCTATGTGAACAAAGCAGCAATAAACATGGGTGTGCGTGGTTGTTTATTCTAAGGAGTGGGCAGCTTCAGGTGTGTTCACTCTACAGCCTGGGCTCTTGTGTGGCTGGAAGACGAGCCACAGGGATGAGGTCAAAGAGTGACCAAGGGCCGCAGTCTCAAGCACCCCCCAGTCACTTTGAGACCAGTAAGTTCTTTTGATGGTGTTTTTAGTTTTGTTCTACATTTTTCTCCACCCAAAAGGTCTTCTTGGGATGGATATCATCCATGATACAACCAACTTGTAGCCAAACAATATAGACAGGTCTATGAGCAATCTCCTTCCTGTGATTTAGAGCCTCAGAAACCCGATGGAGGGTCAGGCCGGAGCCGGTTCTGAGCTGTGAGTGAATGATAAAAGCCTGGTGGTGTAACAGCTGAAGTGCGGGGCAGCGGGGAAAGTGCAGTTGCATCGTGGGTATTGTAGTCATCCGCACTGTGACTGGTTGGCTGGAGGGTCATCTGAGGAGAGGAAAGCCCTCACCTGGATGGACTGGCACAGCGATGGCAGCGGAGATGGTGAGGGTCGAGCAGGACTGGGCAGGGCTTTGCTTTGTTACACGTGGAGTCGCTGAATCAGAGCTGACCGAGAGCCACACAACAATGAAGAGATTGTACTCAAAGTTAAAGAACAAAATGTAAAAAAAAAGAACAAAATGTGTGCCAGTGTTTGCATGAAAAACCCAGCGCTCTGTAAACGTCCACTCACATCACAGTAAGAAAATGTATCCTTAGTTAAGATGGAAAAGTACCCAAGTTTGGGGTGAGGCGGTGTAGAGAGCACTGCTGTGAAATGTGGCAGGTGGGCCAGGCCGTGGCCTGCTGGTAAAGGTCTGATATCCAGCTCTCCCGGAGGAAGTGGCTCTGAGAAACAGTCATTGCCGTTTCCGTGGTGTAAATACTGCCCCTGAGGTCATTTCAGCCTAACCAACTGGCCTGGAAAATGGAACAATTGGCTCTTAGTCAGGAAAAGGGTTCTGGACACCACTGGCTGCCCAACAGCCTGCGGACGCGAAGGTTAGAGGGACTGAGTCAGGGCTGTGCCACTCAGCATGTGGAACTTAGTGAGTAAGAAACACTAAGAAAAGGGAGCTCTGGTGGCCTAGTGGCAAGAAACTGCACTGCTATCCCGGAGGTGTGCGGTTCAAATTCTCTATGTGCGCTACTGGAGAAGGAGGGGCAATCTCCTTCTGTACCAGTCAGATATGATGTGATGGTACACATATGAAAAATGATAATTTTTTAAAAGCAATGGTAAGAGAGGTGATGTGCATGGGGAGGAGGTTTAAGTCTTTTAAAAAAATTCTAATTTTTTCTTTTTCTTAATTGATATTTTAATTAAAGTTTATAAAGAACTTGGATTTCCAATCTTTCATTGTTGCACATTTTCCTCCCTTTCCCCCTCCCCCCCCCCCCAGATCACTTTGTTCTTTGCG